CCGGACTCAGGTAGATCTGATGCTGAGCATGCAGCAGAGACAGAGGGGCAGCAGCAGCAGCAGCAGCAGCGGCAGCAGCAGCGGCAGCATGAAATTCCATCAGCAGCAAACAGCTGTTCTAACACACTTATCGTTGCTGCAGCAGCACGGCCTGGGGATACACCCGCCAGCAGCACGCGCATAGATGTGGAGACGCACACAAGCACCAGCAGCAGCAGCAGCAGCAGCAGCAACAGCAGCAGCAGCAGCAGCAGCAATTGCTACGAGCTGCCAGCTATAGCTAAGGAGCCGCCTGGGATCCCTCCTTTGTGTCACCCATTAGGTATGAATACATCTTTTTCTGCGCGAGCAGCAGCAGCAGCAGCAGCAGCAGCAGCAGATGCTGCTGCTGTTGCAGCCGTAGCAGCAGCAGCAGGAGGAGGAGTAGGGAGAGAAGCAGCAAGCAGCAGACTCACCCACAGCTTGAGCGCCGATGACAGCCAAAGAAGAAGTCTAAGAGCTGCGTTCAGAGGAGGAATAGAAAAACTGATGAGGTTTTCTAGCTGGAGGGGGAGAGAAGAAGAAGAGCAGCAGCAGCTGTCTGTACACTGCAACCCTGCTGCTGCAGCACTCCACAACCAGCAGCAAACACAACATCTCCCTCTTCATGCTGCAGCAACCCCACCACAACAACCACCCCATCAACCTATCCATCATGGGGTGTATGGACAGCTGCTCCCGCAGCAGCTGCAGCTGCAACTGCAGCAGCAGCAGCAGCAGCATCCTCCTCCTCCTCCTCCTCCCTTTGGAGCTGCTCATGTTCGTCTTTATTATATCTCTTTCTCTCTTTGTTTTTTTNTCCTCCTCCTCCTCCCTTTGGAGCTGCTCATGTTCGTCTTTATTATATCTCTTTCTCTCTTTGTTTTTTTTAGTATATATCTTTCTTTCTTTTTTCTTTTTATTATGTCTCTTTCTCTCTTTGTGTTTTTTTATTATATATCTTTTTTTATTTGTTCCTTTTATTATATCTCTTTCTCTCTTTGTTTTTTTATTATATATATCTCTCTTTGTTTTTTTATTATATCTCTTTCTCGTCTCCTCCTTTCCTTCTATCAAACGGATGTTGTTGCTGCATCTTTGTATTTTGTTTTTTTTCTTTTTTTCTGTTTTCTTTTTTTTTCTTTTTCTCTGTTTTTTGTTTCTCCTCCTTTGTCTCTTGTTTTTTTCTTCTTTTCCTCTGTTTTATGTTTCTTCTCCGTTGTATTCTCTCTTTTTTTTTGCGTTTTATTTGCTTGTGCGTTTTATTTTCTTAGATATTACTTTACTATTACATATTTTTTTTTTATTTTATATTTAATAGTATTATATTTTATAATAAAAAGAATAAAAAAAAATATATTTAATTTTATATTATTTTTTTTTATGTTTACAGACGGATGCTAGAGCTCACCTGGTGCTGCTGGTGGAGCTGCAGCGGGTGCGCAGCGAGTTGGTGCGACTGCAGCAGCAGCAGCAGCAGCAGCAGCAGCAGCGGCAGCAGCAGCCATCTATAGTTATTCAAAACCATACTGCTGTCTCCGCGAAAGCAGATAGAGTTTGCCCAGACAGAGAAAGCAGCAGCTGGATTCCTCCTTGTCTCTCCGTGTGAGTACTCCTGCTGCTGCTGCTGCTGTTGCTGTTGCTGTTGCTGCTGCTGCTGCTGTTGCTGCTGCTGTTGTTGCAGCAGTTGTTGCTGCTGTTGCTGCTGCTGTTGCTGCTGCATGAGCTTTTTGCGGCTGTAACTGTTTCATGGGTTCTGCTGCTGCTGCTGCTGCAGCAGCAGCAGTAGGGTTCATGGTTTAGGGTCTATTGTTTAGGGTTTGGGGCTTGTTGCGGCATAGGGTTTAGGGTTTAGGATGTAGGGTTTGTGGTTTAGGGTTTGCGGTTTAGGTTTCGTGTGTTTTAGGGTTTGCAGTTTGTGTTTTAGGGTTTGTGTTTTTTTTCGCGTTGAGGGTTTCCGTTACCCTAAAGGGTTTAGGGTTTAGGGTCTAGGGTTTAGGGTTTCTGTTTTAGGGTGTAGGGTCCCTGCTTTAGGGTTTAGGGTTCGTGTTTTAGGGTTTCTGTTTTAGGGTTTAGAGTTTCTGTTTTAGGGTTTTCGTGTTAGGGTTTAGGGTTTCTGCTTTAGGGTTTAGGGTTTAGGCTTTAGGGTTTTCGTTTTAGGGTTTAGGGTTTTCGTTTTAGGGTTTAGGGTTTTCGTTTTAGGGTTTAGGGTTTGTGTTTTAGGGTTTAGGGTTTAGGGTTTAGGGTTTGCGTTGCAGTTTTTTCGAGTCTCGTTTGAACCGCATAATATATTTTAGGGTTTCTGTTTCAGGGTTTCTGTTTCAGGGTTTCTGTTTCAGGGTTCAGGGTTTAGGGTTTAGGGTTTAGGGTTTAGGGTTTAGTGTTTAGGGTTTGCGTTGCAGTGTTTTCGAGTCTCGTTTGAACCGCATAATATGTTTTAGGGTTTCTGTTTCCTGTTTCAGGGTTTAGGGTTTAGGGTTTAGGGTTTAGGGTTTAGGGTTTGTGTTGCAGTTTTTTCGAGTCTCGTTTGAACCGCATAATATTTTTTTGTGGTTTTGCCGTCGGCTGTTTTGTTTTGGTGGAGCACTGGAGATACACCTGGAAAATGAACCAACTCAAGGTCTGCATACACCTTAATTCATGTTTGTTTATATATATATTTATATATATATATATAC